CATGAAATCAAACTAATGTTAATAAAATTTAAATTAAAAACTTTAAATAAATATAAACCATACTTAATATTCAAGTCATAATCATAATAAACTGTTTAAAAATAACAATAAAAGTAAAAAATGCTGAAAAATGTGAAATGTTTAACAAAATTACGAGACATGACATCAATAATCTAGTTTTTATTTTAATTTTCGTATTTAGTATTTAGCTGACGTTTTTATGGAGAAAATATTTAATAAAGAATATGTATATGTTTTTGACACAAACTCACACTTTATAAGCACTTTATTTTTGTAACCTGACCTTGTAAAACTTTGACATTTTAAGCTTATTACTAGAATTAAAGTTTGAAATACCAAATTTGCATCCTGATGTCCTAGACCCGTCAACACAGATGGAGGAAAATGCAGGCTTTAATATTTCAAATTACGAAGTATGCTATGGATCAAATTATCAAAGTTTGAATTAATAAAGGTTTACATCATCAGGTGGCAAGTATATAGAAATAATAAAGGTTTACATCATCAGGTGGCAAGTATATAGAAATAATAAAGGTTTACATCATCAGGTGGCAAGTATATAGAAATGAAAGAGTTTGTGATGAGAATTCAGTTAATTTGCATGCTCTTAAAAACTTCAGAATTCACAAAAAATTACAAATTTTTCAACATTTTTGGAATTCTCGAAAAATCGTCATCTTCAATCCTGACTTTGATCACAATTTTTTTAATTAAGACAATGTTAAATTTATCCATTGAAAATGCTTTGTTCTTCTTTTGAAATGTAATTTAATTTGTACTTCTTGAAAACAACTTTTCAACAGTTTTAGTGTAATTAAGAGTAAAGAGCTCTTTATATATTCAAATACATATTTTACACATTTATTAGTTAATGCATATTTTCACGGTGTTAAATACTTCCCACATTTTCCCAATGGCGACATCCAAAGTAACAACTTCTCAAATGTTCAGTTTGCCAAACGGCAACTTCCCAAAGGTTATGGTAGGCCTCCTAAGAGGCCGCAGGCTGCAATAGGGGCCGAGCGCTGCGGTTAAGATGGGCTAGGGGCCGTGCGCTGCGGTTATGGCAGACTTGGAAAGTTGCTGCTTGGGAAATTTTACATTTGGGAAATTGCCATTTGGGAAAATACCCTTGGGAATTGCCGCATAAAAAGTTGCACTTTGGAAAATACCCTTAAGAAAATGACTCTGGGAAAGGTACCTATCAATTATACATTGCTTTCTTTTCTCTATAGATCCGTGTATAGCGATCTGAAAGTCATCCGGCTAGTGACTATATGCAGTAAAAACATTTATAAATTACATTTTTGCCAAAATTATTGAATATTTTTTTAAATTCTAATTTAAAAACATTTAAATGTCAATTATACTTTTTGGCAAAATGATTTAAATATTGTTTTAAACTCTGATTTAAAGTTTTCGTTGAGTAGCCCGTAGAGTATAGGATTACAACAAGCAGAGAGCATACCTTTAATAATTAAAAAATAAATACATATATGTATGTGGATATTGTATAAGGATAGTGAACATGGATAATGTGTATGGATATTGTATAAGGATAGTGAACATGGATAATGTATATGGATAGTGTATATGGATAGTGTATATGGATAGTGTATAGGAACAGTGCATAAGGACAGTGTATAAGGATAGTGAATATGGATAGTTTATATGGATAGTGTATATGGATAGTGTTTATGGATAGTGTATAGGAACAGTGCATAAGGATAGTGTATATGGATAGTGTATATGGATAGTGTATATGGATAGTGTATAAGGATAGTGCACATGAACAGTGCATAAGGACAGTGTATAAGGATAGTGAAAATGGATAGTTTATATGGATAGTGTATATGGATAGTGTATATGGATAGTGTATAGGAACAGTGTATAAGGATAGTGTATATGGATAGTGCATAAGGACAGTGTATAAGGATAGTGTATATGGTTAGTGTATAAGAACAGTATATAAGAACAGTGTTAACGCATCACTGGGTTATAGAGGGTGTTTTCTGTTGTTATATGGATAGTGTATATAGATAGTGCACATTGATAGTGTATAAGGATTGTGTATATGGATAGTGTAAATGGATAGCGTATATGGATAGTGTATAAGGATGGTGTGATAGTGTATATGGATAGTGTATAAGGACAGTGTATAAGGATATAGTGTATATGGATAGTGCATATGGACATTGTATATGGATAGTGTATATAGTTAGTGTATATGGATAGTGTATAAGAACAGCGCATAAGGATATAAAGGGACTGTACTAGAAATGATTTAAAGGGACTGTACTAGAAATTATTTGAAGGGACTGGACTAGAAATGATTTAAAGGGACTGTACTAGAAATTATTTAAAAGGACAGTACCAGAAATGATTTAAAGGGACTGTACTAGAAATGATTTAAAGGGACTGTACTAGAAACGGTTTAAAGGGACTGTACTAGAAATGATTTAAAGGGACTGTAACAGAAATGATTTAAAAGGACAGTACCAGAAACGATTTAAGGGACTGGACTAGAAATGATTTAAAGGGACTGTACTAGAAATGATCTAAAGGGACTGAACTAGAAATGATTTAAAGGGACTGTACTAGAAATGATTTAAAGGGACTGTACTAGAAATGATTTAAAGGGACTGTACTAGAAATGATTTAAATGGACTGTACTAGAAATGATTTAAAGAGACTGTACAAGAAATGATTTAAAGGGACTGTACAAAAAATGATTTTAAGGGACTGTACAAAAAATGATTTAAAGGGACTGTACTAGAAATGATTTAAACCTACCAATAAGATGACAAAGAGCAAAGGCTGTGAAGAACTCGTTGTCGTTTTTAAACATGACTCCAGTAAAATCCTGACAACAAATTTGTTAAAGGTACTGCAGACGTAATTTCTAGTAATTTATAGAGCATAGTAGATCTATAGTTAGATCTACTATGGGACCCTTTACCCTTTCCTTTAGCGAGGATGAATACTGTTACCTTATTATCTTCAAAATTAAAAATTTCTTAATTAAGTTAATGGAATGGCGGATTTTGATGAAGAAAAACAACGATGTTTTCCTCTTTGTTATTTAGATAAATGTTTACATGGTACCGCTGTCAATCGTACATGTCACTCTACTTTTATTAGATGTAGGGTCACTTAAAATTATGTGTAAAGCCCTGTAAGCAAGCAATTTTCTAATGATAGAAAGGCTCGAGAGGACACTAGAATGTAGAATTTCCCTAACAGGGGTTGGTTCATTTGGTGTACTGTCCCGTTTTGCCTGGTATAAACTGTATGTGTACTGTCCAATCCGCCCCTGCTTCCCCTCAATGTCCCTTTAAGATAGTGAGCTCAAAGTTTTCACTTTTATTAAACATTGTATTAGAATGAGATAGAGTGTAATAAATGTGCAGTTAATGTCAAGATATAACTTTATTTAAACTCAATTCAATCTGCCTTACTGAAAAGAATAACTTTTTTAAAAACATTTTTTTCATTATTAACAATAGTATTTTTGAAATTACTTTTATATTTAGAAAGGGTTTGTTTATGAACTGGATGGGTCAACACAATGCTTGATTAGCTTCCGCATTCTTTAGAAATTTAATGTCTTTCTCATTCATAATTCAAATTTTGTAAAGTAAACGACGGTAATAACACTTTTTTTTATTCCCCCTGTTTAAAAATACGATTCCTTTTGTGTTTGTTAAATTGTGAAGGGGGGTTTCTCAGAAAAATGTAAATTAAAAGGTTTCATTTTTAATATATTTTTATCACATCATATACAAATGATCCTCCTCTCCTTCAGATATTCCCCTGTGGCATCTTCAAGCACGTTTAGCAATAATGTATTTTTTTATTTGAAAATTGATTTTTCCGGGGAAAGGCTTTTTTCTCTTTTCTACTAATACTGTATTAAAAACATGTTCACCATTGGGAAATAAAAATACAAAATATTTAAGATATAATTGGGTAATTTACTTTTAACTACTTAGGCAGCCAAAATAAAAAATTATGGTTACATGAATATGCATGTTTTTAAAGGGAGAAACAGGCTTGACATGATAGTTAAGTAGAGAGTAAAGTAGAGTAGAGAAATTTTTCAAGATTCATTTGAGAACTTTAAAATTAGACCTTTAAAATTAGACCTTAAAAATTAGACCTTTAAAATTAGACCTTAAAAATTAGACCTTTAAAATTAGACCTTTAAAATTAGACCTT